ATGGGACTTGACTTGAGCTCTGACCCATCCCCGTGTAGGCCCTGGGAGCTTCCTGACCTGAGGCAGCCTGACCTGTGTGAGGAGACAGGAGGAGCAATGGTCTCAAGTTGCAGTGGGGGAGGTCTAGATTGGATATTGGAGGGTGGGGAAGCGCTGGGATGGGTTCCCTAGGGAGGGGGTGGAATCTCCATTCCTGGGGATCTTAAGTCCCAGCTTGACAAAGCCCTGGCTGGGATGATTGAGTTGGGTTGGTCCTGCCTTGGGCAGGGGCTGGACTCGATGACTCCTGAGGTCTCTACCAGCCCTAGGATTTGATGAGCAGGGCGGCTGGGGTCCAATCCCCCGTCAGAGCCCAGGCGCAGGGTGCAGCGCAGCCATACCTGTAAGCTCCTCTCCTAGCTGCTGGGCAGGCACAGAGCTGGCTCTAGGCTCTGGCCCTCATCAGGCTGCATGTGCATGTCACCACCTCCCACCAGCCCCCCCCTTGCACCCAAACCTCCTTCACCTCTTCTTGATGAGCAGGGCGGCTGGGGTCCAATCCCCCGTCAGAGCCCAGGCGCAGGGTGCAGCGCAGCCATACCTGTAAGCTCCTCTCCTAGCTGCTGGGCAGGCACAGAGCTGGCTCTAGGCTCTGGCCCTCATCAGGCTGCATGTGCATGTCACCACCTCCCACCAGCCCCCCCCTTGCACCCAAACCTCCTTCACCTCTTCCCCCCCAGCATCTCTAACTGCCCCAGCTGCCACATCTCTTCCCCGCCCACTCATCAGCCCGCTCTGGGGCTCTGGCTGAGACCCCGCCCCCTTTGCAGGGATTCCTGGGACCCTGTGGAGCAGGGAAGGGGCTTGTCACCCAGCCCAGAGCATGCCCGTGAATGGCCTGACAGCCCAGGCCAAGCGAGAGGCACATTTGCTGCAGCTTTTTGCTACTGCTTGGCCCAGCTCCTGTGTGCAGGGGCGCCCAGGAGAGGTCTCTGTCTGGCCGGAGGCAGGCGCCCAAGCAGGGCCGATTTCCAGACTGTGCTCCCACCACTGCTAAGGAGGTTTTGCCGCCCCTGAAAGCCTGTGCAAAGCAGCCTCCAGCAGCTGTGTGTTCTCGGCGTGACTCATCCCCACCTCCCCAGAACAACATTCCTCCTCTGTGAAATCAGGGCCTGGCTGTGTTAAATCACCAAGCAGTTCTCTCCCCACGCACCTCCTTGTAGCCAGTCTGGATGCCTGAGTCCCAGGACAAGGTGCCTGGGAGAAGGGAGTAGAATAATGCTACTGCTTTGCCTGCCTGTAGCCCCTGGGGTGCAGGAAAGCCTACTCAGTGGATGGGAAACTGAGGCACAGAGCCGTTGCAGCAGATCACAGAGCAAGGCAATGGCAGAGTTGAAAGTGGAGTGGAGCTCTGCCTCTTGTCCCCTGCCCTTCCATATGGACCATAAGGGGTGTTGTGTACAGCAAACGGCAAGGGGATGCTTAACTGTAAAGCAGGAGGAACCCGGGGTAACACCCTAGCAAGGAACTTTCTCTAGTCACAAATGGGGACTTAACCCATAATCTCCTCTGCTGACGGTCCTGAACCATTCACACTGCTGGCGCCTGCTCACTCACACGGAGGAGAATCAGGAGCCACCCAGCTCCCAAAGCAGGAAATAGATTGAGCACCACTGAAAAATCCAGCTTAGCTCTATTGCTGGCCATGGGGGAAGGAGGGTCTGGTCTGTGTGTGAGGCCCTGGAGAGAAATCAAATAATGCCCTTAAAAGAACTCTGCTTTCCTGGTGCCGGGAGCCAGCCTCAGCTGCTGGGGAAGGGAGCTTTAATGCAGTGCTAAGTGTTGCAAAAAGCAAGGTCAGGAATCCATGGTGGCTCTGCTCATTTTCCTCCTTGCGGAAGGCTGGGCCATGCAGCTTTCAGAGCCATTTGAAATGTGTCATCACAACCCCTCGCCCTGCCCTAGGGCTTCTCGTCCAAGGGCCTCCAAAGTGCTTTCCTGACACCACTTTAATTAACCCGCACAACAGAGACACCTGGCAAGTCAGTGGACATGCTGGAAAGAGAACCCAGGAGTCCTGACTCCTAGCCCCCTGGCTCCACCCACTGATCACCATAAAGAAAGAGGCACTTGCTCACACCAGGATGGCATCCCCTGTAAATTGTCAGTGAACAGAGCCTCATGTCTCCCCCCAGAGCTGACCTGCCTTTACACAAGCACCGAATCCTGCAGCCCTGACTCATCGAGGTTTGCATGCAGGAGGAATTGGGCTAGTCCCTAAACTGAGCAGGGGAAGGGCAAGGTCCAGGGTTTTAAATACAGGGCTGATGAATAGGCTCTTGCCTGCTCCAGGTCAAAAGGAATTTAGATCCTGGAAGCTGATGGACACAGCTCCTTCCCGCCTTGCGCAGGCTGGTGTGGCTGTGAGCCTCGGTGAGGTGCATTAGCATTTCATCTAGAATAAGTCCGAGCACACTGGCCGTTGATTTCAATCGCCGCACTGTGCCAGGAGCACTTCTGGGGAGGTGCGGGTGCATTTAGACACTTTTGTTATTTTTAGGTCCACTCTTCCAGTAAATCCTGCTACTGATTTCAGGAGGAGAGGGTCATCAAAGAGAGAGGAAAATATAGACACACCAGCATATATAAAACTGGTTTTAAAATCTTTCCTTTTCATTTTTCCCATCATAGGACATGCCTGGAGACCTTAATTAAAACATCCCCTCCAGGCCCCTGTCAAGTACTTTAGTCCTCAACCCTGGCAATGTATTTGGTGCAGCAGGCTTTCATGGTGAATGATACATTCACATAGAAGAGGTACATTTTGGAGGCAGAAGGTAAAGCAAATTATAATAAAGTGGCAAATCTGTCTGTGTGTCCCACTGCCAGGAATAAATCAGAACTGTTCCATTGTGTGTCATGGGCCCTATACTGCTGGCAGCTCTGGGAGACTTCCTTAGCCTCTATGGTAGGAAAGTGGACTTTCAAATCAGAAGGCTCTGTCTCTATTGGCCTCTCGTGTTAGCATGCCAGTCTGCCCATCAATTTATGGAGCTCACACCAGCCCTGGGAAGAAGAATCATAACTAGAGCTCTGCAAATCCATAGATAGCCTCATCCATGGATGCAGCAGCTGCTCATTTTTGCTGATTCAAACTTTGTCTCCTCACAGGGCAGGGAGATTAAGTGATGTGGCCAAGGTCACTCAAAGAGTTTGTAAGAGCCAGGAACGGGCGTCTCAGCTCCTGAATCCCAGCCCAGTGCATTAGCCACAAGACCATCCAGGCTGCCTCTATTGACCCCTGCCACCCTCACAGGGGCCGCAGCTCATTGCTATCCCCCAAAGGGAGTGCAACTCTACAGTACAGTTAAAAGAATCAATATACAGCAAAGCGATCGCTACTCCCTCGGGAACAGACTTTGGGTTGAAATTCATGATTGCTCACAAGAAGTTAAGGAACCTCCGTTGCCAAGTGGATTTCTCTCCCCTTCCCCCCAAAAACGTTGTCACCAAGTGGGCAAAGGTGTCACAGCAAATATCGCAGCCGCTTCCCCGCGGCAAGACTGCAAAGCGCGTTTCCTTGTGTCCCCCTTTGACTCACCTTGAACTTGTTAGAATCGGCGG